GGGGGGGGGATGTTAATAGGGTTAATTTACATTCTCAACATGTTCTTCCTGAACTAGTGATACACATCCTCTGCTGACGGTAGCACCATTAATTCTTGCCTGTTTTCCCTTGATTTCACTGCAGATTTAATGTTCACTCTCCGTTTATGCTCTTCTACTCAATCCAACTATGAAGCAAGAGGATTTAATTTACTGTACTGAGGATGTGAATTTGATTTCGGTGGATGTTGGATTCTGTTAAATCCCAAAAAGATTTAAAGTTTTTTTCTAACATGGCTTCAGTTCCAGAACATACTTCACATGGCAATGAGTTCTAGGTATATTTGATGCAGTATTTTTTAGAAACATAGCTAGTAAAACCAATATCTCTTGTTTTCACAGCACTTATGGCTTTATGGTGCAATATTTTACAAGCAGGCCTTATGAAAACAGACACACATATCAGTGTGTATTTCAGTGAAAACATTAGTAATTGCGGGTTGTTTTATGTTTATTTAGTACTAACTTGAACTTTTTCAAATCTTACACATTATTATTATGGTACTAAGCACTTGCCACCCCTGAACTGTAGCCAATAGGTTATAAACACTGCCCATTTATCACAGTCTGTTTTTTTGTCCCCTGTAGCAATGGATCCGTCCATTACATTGTGGCAGTTCCTGCTACACCTGCTGGATGATCAGAGTCAGAAGCATTTGATCTCCTGGACATCTGGGGATGGAGAGTTCAAACTGCTGGATGCCGAGGAGGTGGCCAGACTCTGGGGGCTGCGCAAGAACAAAACCAACATGAACTATGATAAACTGAGCAGGGCACTTCGTTACTACTATGACAAGGTATGTACAGGAGTAACTATGGATGTGAATCATGGACTTAATCAGTTTATTTGATATATTCATTACTGTTTAAAATTTTGGGTTTAAAATTTAGGTAAGTTTTTTTTTTTTTTTCTTTTAAAGAGCTTACATTTTATTCCGCAAGAATGCAATAAAGTGATCAAACGTGACAGTAAAGACATTTATAATGTTACAAAAGATTTCTATTTCAAATAAATGCTGTTCTTTTGAACTTTCTGTTCATCAAAGAATCCTGAATAAATGTATCATGGTTTTCCACAAAAATGTTTAGCAGCACAACTGTTTTAAACATTGAAACTAATAAGAAATGTTTCTTGAGCAGCAAATCAGCATATTAGAATGATTTCTGAAGGATCATGTGACACTGAAGACTGGAGTAATGATGCTGAAAATTCAGCTTTGTATTACAGGATATTTTAAAATAGCATTTAAAAATATATTCAAATAGAAAACTGTTATTTTAAATTATAATAATGTTTCACAATATCACTGTTTTTACTATGTTTTGAATCAAATACATGAAGAAATCTTACCAACCCCAAAGTTTTGAACACTAGTGTATATATTTGACATACAGTAATACATTTTATTGATATTAAATTAGATTAAATAAATGAAGTTAAATTAAACATTATTTACTCAACATTTACTCAAAAAATGTTAACCAATTAATGAGCCTGGACAATAATTTGGTCCATCACTAGTATTTATCCATAAATATTAATAATTCTGTGATTTTTACTGTCTAACTACTATGAAAAAGCTAGAAAAACGCTTAAGATTGGAACTTGAATTAATGTTTAATGTCAAGTGCATATTATTGTTTAGCCACATTTCTCATCAAGCTTTCATACTTCCACAGAATATTATTAAGAAAGTTAGCGGCCAGAAGTTTGTCTACAAGTTTGTGACCTTTCCGGATCCCAACTCTGCTGATGGGCTGAAAGGGCCTGAGGATTCCCAGAGGGCCACTACAGGGGAGAAATTGGAGCTTTCCATTCAGACCAAATCTAACACCACCAACCCGTGTCTCTCCAAGAGCCTGCAGGTTCAGCACTCCTCTCCTAGCTCAGTGCAACGCAGCTCCCGCAACGATTACATGAAGTCTGGTCTCTACTCCACTTTCACTATCCAGTCCCTGCAGACGCCCTACAAAACCACATCCAAATTCATCAAAACAGAGCACGTCCTGAGTGACTGCAGCCCCAATCCTGCCCCTCTGGACTGCACAGTGCATGAGGTCAGCTTCTTTCTGGATTTTATGTTTTTGTTTTAGAGCTGATGCTTTTCATTCTGTAATAAATCCTCTCAGATGACATGAGCCATCAGTTAAATGAGTTATCAATGTTTAAACCTCCAAAACCTTGTGAGGCAAACCTTGTGTGTCAAGTATTTGATTCACAGTGATTTTGTGTGTATGGCGCAGATGCGAATGTGTCAGACAGAAGGACAGCAGGGAACTGTTCAGGCCCAGTCGGCTGTAGAGAGCAGCAGTCTGCAGGTGATAGTGACCCACCCGTCCCCATGTGCTACTCCCGCCCTCAGCCCACAGACGCCCTCTGGATCTGCCACGGCAACCACGGTATGGATTCACTCTTTAACACACATCCAGACACAGTCTTTAAATGTGTAAAGCTGTGCGATTTTAGCCACGATGATGGTGCCAACATTTGGGAATCATGTAAGATTTTTTGCTGTAGGCAAAGTCTTTAATCGATTAGTGTGGCATCACCCATGGCAGTAGTGTTCATTTTGTTAGCTGGTTTTTAGTTTAGTATTAGTCTTAGTCCTTTGTCAAATGTCCTTTTTAGTTTTCATCATATTTAATCAACCTATCCAGTTTTTTGTTTAGTCAATTTGTAGTTGTTAGTCTAGTTTTAGTCAATGAAAACATATTTTAGTGCTGCATGCTGCATAATGGTTCAACTGATAATTACAGTTTTTTTGCTCAGAATTATAACTGTGATTACTGATCATGATTGTTGTCAGAGAATGTCAGCTCATACACATGGTTTATTTGACCTCATTTAGATTTATTCAATTATCATTTTTTCTATGCATTATGAAAACTGGTAAAACACAAAAGCTTCTCTCAAAAACTAAAACAATTAAATTTCTAATATTAACTCTAATAATTCCAAATTATATTCATGTTTTTCTATTAAAACAATGACAAAAAAGACTTTGTGGCACAGAGGCTGCAAAAGTGCATTTATTCAGCAACCACGATCGCAAACAATGGACCCTTTTCACATTTCCGGGTTTCTCAGCAGCGGAAGTCGTCATAGTTGGGTTAACTTGAAGAGCAGTGAATGGGAGAGTACCACAAATATATTTTTTGCATTCCCATTTGCTCAAATGGCAAAAGGAAAACTCCACGATAGTGTTTTCGTGACTTTCAATAAAAGAAAAAAATTGAGAGAGACTGATAACGGCAGTCAGATGAGAGAATGATGTCAAATTTACCGTCCCTCCCATAGACGCTGCTTTAGAAACACCCTCGCATTAGCGTTAACTGTTTTTTTGTAATTTGATGCAAAGGTGATAAAATACAAAGAATAGTATTATAAATGTACATTCATTTTTAAACAAATACAAATAGGAAAAACTTTCGACGATTTACGATGTTGATGACCGTTAAACGCGTCATCACAGTCTTGTGAAAAGGGTCCATATAGTTGAAATCCATGTTTGGATTTATTACAGTCGGCACTGAGGCCTTGTGTGTGCTTGGTTGTGATATAGAGATTTTTAGAGATAGTCTATTTTTTTTTATTTTTTTTTGTCAGTTATGCTGCATATTAATATAGTCACAGTGTTTAATGATGTCTCATCTTAGTCAAGGAAAAAAGGTCATGAATGAATAATTTTCTTTAAACTGGATGGCAGTCGTTTAAGTTTTGCAATGAATCTCAGCGTCAGTGTCAGAAATGGCATCACAGTCAAGCAAGCCCTTTCTCCAGTGAATAAAATCAAGCACATTTTTCTTGTTGTACTTAAAAATATGTCACACTATGGAAGTAAGTTACAAATTAGTCTTTGCTCATTGAAGCACTCATTGTAGCCTCCTAGTCAACATGACATTTTTTGGCAGATTTATAAAAGCTTATTGACCCAGATTCTTGTAAAATACTTTAAAGATCAGCTAATCAACTTGCAATCCAAATATCTGACACCCATGTTAAATACTGTTATTATTAAGACTTATGTGCATAAAAATTTTTGTTTTAAATTCATCCCACAGAATACTCAAGCACAGAAGAGCCAGAGTTTGGGTGACCCACCCCAGATCTACCTGTCTGATCCCAGCTCTCTGACCTCGCTCATTCCTCTAGCTCATGGAGAATGTGTAGTCAACCATTCTCAGCCTGTGTTTGTGGTCATAAAGCCTTCGCCAGTCGGGCTTCCCAAAGAGTCCAGTCTCCCGCCTGAAGACGATTTGCTGGAGATTGTCCATTTGGATGACAAAACAGATGTTGAGGTGAACAGACGTGTCAATTATAAATCATTCAGTGTATAACATCCAAAAAATGTTAAACATGTTTGGCTGTGATTAAATGCGAGAGTAATTTAGCTTTTTATTTATTGCCATACTCAGCCAGTGTCCACAGTGCCTGTCCCTGGAGTTACAGATGCCCCTATCCCTGTGGATGCTCCATCACCCTGTGTGGAGCCAGTATCCCAGCCGGTTGGAGAAGGGGAAGTGAAAGAGAAGCCTGAGCTACCCGGTTAGTTGAAAGTTCAGGTTGTTAATGCATTAAAGAGCTGGTGAGGTTCATAGCAGTTGATTGTTCTAGTCTGTTTTTAGGTTTACTAAGTTTATAAATTACAAGCAAATCTTTGTGTAAGTGGTAACACATTCCTTAGCATTTTTTGTTCAACTTATAAAAGGGATATCAATTAAGGTCCATTTCAAAATCTCAAGTTTCTTGGCAACCAAAAACAGCCTACTGTTACGGTAATTAACTACAATACCGTTCGAAAGTTTGGGATCAGTGAGATTTTTAAAATTTATTTGAACAAAATGCTCACCAAGACTAGATTTATTTAATAAAAAATACAGTAAAAAGAGAAACATTGTTAAATATTACTACAACTTAAAATAGCTGATTTCTATTTGAATATATTTTAAAATGTATTTTATTTCAGCCACCATTACTCCAGTCTTCAGTGTCACATGATCCTTCAGAAAAACATTCTAATTATGCTGATTTGACGATCAAGAAACATATTGTATTATTGTCAATGTTGAAAACAGTTGTGCTCCTTCATATTTTGTGGAAATGTATATATAATTTTTTCAGGATTCTTTGATGAATAGAAAGTTCAAAAGAACAGCATTTATTTGAAATATAAATAATTTGTAACATTATAAATGTCTTTACTGTCACATTTGATCAAATCAGTGCAAGTGCTGTTGACACCGAGTCCGCTGCCATCAACCATTCACTTCTGGAGCACTCTCAGTCCAATCGCTCCACGCAGCCCTGCCAAGCTCTCCTTTCAGGTGAGACTTCCTGTCCACAGCATGGCAGCAGCACACCATCTGTCTCCTCACACTCCCTCAGCTCATTGCATGGATGAGATTTTACTCTCTGCCCACTCCATTCATAACCATCAAATACTTCACAACATATAAATTTTATGTATTTCTCCTTTTCCCAACTTTTCAGATTGTCATGGTAATCGATATATCTTATTTACATTCATGCATTTAGCAGACACTTTTGTTCAAACAGACTTACAATAGAGGAACATAAGTGTTTTTCACAGAACCAACAATATTCTTATACAGTGGCAGGTTTGTTAGAAAGCTAGTTTAGGAAATGAGCTACAGCAGAGAAGAAAGAGGATTTATTTTTAATTTTTTTCCAGATAGTCTTGTAACAATTTTGAATTGTGAAATACTATTTGGTTTCATGACATGAAAAGGAAATTGGTGTATTACATGGAGTATTCTTTGGATGATAAATGGTTCGGTAAATTCTGAATGGATGAGCCACATTTCAAATAAGTTAGCCAGCTATTCCCACACTTGTGAACACACATGATTTGAATTCTGTTATTGTGCCTTCACATTAACTCTACGTTGCTACAGTGCAATAAAACCATAATCTACAATTAAGCGAATTAATTTATTATTATTATTATTATTGACTAAGTATTTATTAGTGAAGTCGGTTGTCTCATTTTATTGCTTTTGTTCCCATATTTTTAATACCTATAAAATATTATTAATAATAGTAATAATAATAATTTAATTATTACATATTACTGAACTGCCTTTTATCATATTGCTTTTGCTCCCATTATTTAAAAAATGAATGCTTAGTTAATTTAAAAAAATATATAATTTCAATGCTCTGCATTGCAGTGATTTCACAATATTTTCTTTTGCTTATTCATTAAGTGGACATCAAATTTTTTGTGCTTAATTTTGAGAAGGTTTTTGTTTTGTTGGACTGTTCCTCAGAAAAGCATGTGAGCATCCTCTGCTGGCCAATAGCAGCAGTGCAGAGTTTGAAATGTTTATAAGTTGTTATTTTTACAGGAACAGGTGCATTATAAGGTCATGAAACCCCCTGTTTCAGCACTGGTTAGTTCTGACCACAGTTTTAAAAAACACTTAAAAAGTGGGCGTGGTGTGCTGCGGAGTGGAGGGGGAAGAGGGGAGACAGACAACACACAGCTTCGCGTTCAGACAGTTTCATTTCGCTCCCATCGAGTTAAAAACACAAATAAATGCACAGCCATTTGCACTCTCCATCGAAAACATGTATATGAATGCGCTTTTGCACCTCTGATAACTTTTAAGGCTTATTATGCGGCGTTTATATAAGCCTTTTGACGGATTGTGTCACGGAGCTGTAAAAATGGTTACACTCACTAAGTGAATGAATCGCGTTTGTGCCGAACTCTTATTACAAAGCAAAAACAAACTCTTATTCGATCCATGAATGTTTCTCTCAGATAATGTACGCGAGCTCACAGTCTGAAGGGTCTGTCATAGCAAATCAACACATGCTGTTGTGAATAATGAAGTGAAGCATCTTTTCATAGGATAAGAACACGCAGTCTCATGAATAATTTAATAGACACCTACGCGTCATCGATGTACTATAGTCCTTTGCCACATCACAAATTATGACGTCAATATGATGTAGATTTAAAACCCGGAAGATGAAAATTGCGCAAAAAAGCTTAAAATTAACCAGTTTTCTCCAACAGTTAAACTTATCGGATGCTAACATTGTCTTCTATGATGTGCAACACAAACACCTCTGCTAAAATCTCAGAAAAAGTAGTGTGGGGTTTCATGACCCTTTAAATCTAACCCTAAATAAGTGTCTGTCTTGGATGTTCTTCTTGGACTAGTTTTGCATTTTTATTATAGCAAAATGTTCTCTTAAAGGGATAGTTCACCCAAAAATGAAAATTAGTCCATGATTTACTCACCCTCAAGGCATCCTAGGTGTATATGACTTTCTTCTTTCAAACGAATCCAATCGGAGTTATATAAAAAATTGTCCTGGATCTTCCAAGCTTTATAATGGCAGGGGGCAGGTGTTTCTGTTCAACAGTTCAAAAGAAGTCCAATAAAGCGCATCCATCCATACTAAAAAAGTGCCTCACACGGCTTTAATGTTCTATTGTAAATGAATTACTGCAAATTTGTACATTCATTTATACTCAAAAAGGGGTCAAAATGATTGCCTGTAGCAGGGTTATTATCATTAACTAAAACAAAATGTAATATACAGGGCTCCAGACTGTGCCTAGAACAGTCGCATTTGCGACCAAAAATATTAATTTGTGAGTGATATTTTTGCTGAGATTGCCTCTAGCGAGTGGCGACTATGTAAATTTACATGTTATGACTTAAAAATGTGCATGAAATGCCTTTTTTCCTACTTGTTTTGCGATCACATATTTTGTTATTTTGACGTAATAAACTGAGAAGATAGTTTTAGTGGAAAAAGACTTTCAAACAGTCTGAGAGAGCGGAGATGTACAAAGTAAAAGTGCAGAAAAGCAGTGTCTATTTCGGGAGCTTAAACAAACTACAACAGGTAAAGCTGTCAGCTGTTTTATCGTTAACAGTTCTCATTTATAAACGATACTAATATGGCTTCTTGTTATCATATTAGGGAGTTTTGTTCCAACACATATACCATGTAGTTTTCAAATAATCCTGAAGGACTTGATTAGTTGGATCAGGTGCGCTTAATTAGGGTTGAATCTAAACTCAGCAGGGCTTCGGCCCTCCAGGAATTGAGTTTGACACCCCTGATCTAAATGTTGTGTTCTGCTAAAGGATTAGTTCACTTCCAGAATAAAAGTTTCCTGATAATTTACTCACCCCCATTGTCATCCAAGCTGTACAAAAATAAAAATGTATATACTTTTTAACCACAAATGCTCGTCTTGCACTAGCTCAACTTCACGCATTACGTAGTCATGTTGGAAAGGTCACACGTGACGTAGGCAGAAGTACTGACCCAGTGTTTACAAAGCGAAAGTGCAAAGAAAGTCAAACCCCCTTTACAAAAAAAAAAGGTAAAACAACGATGTCTGATGATTTTGAAGTTGGAGGAGAAAATGAGATGGAGTTTTTCACCCTACCCTACCTTTTTTAACCGGAGTACACAGACAAAGAACTAACGATGCGTTCTTTTTTTATACCCACACTGGATATAAATGTGTGTGTTTTGAACAGCACATTCCAGGGCCCAGGTAATGGTGGGGCCCCTCTCTGAATACAACACTGGGCAAAGGTTTGCTACATTTTGAATGGATCTTGGTGGACTAACATAAGCAAACTGTCCAACGCCATCAGATAAAGATGCTAGGACAGCATCCATACACCTCTTAAGGACCTTTCACACGGTATGCGGCAGTCGCGAGTGTCTGGTTCATTCTCGATGGGAGACATGCGGAAAGCGGGCGGTTTCGCTGGCGGCGCGGAGGCGGAGCGCAATCGGTGCTCGTGCACCCACAATCCTGCCACTTCCACGGGCACGGCGCTTCGCAGCAGGCGCCGCCAAAGATAAAAATATTTTATCTTTTTGTGAGCGGCAGCCGCGTCGGTTTCAACCAATCAGTGAACATTTAACTGAACTGCCTATTGGAAAAATAGAGGAGAAGATTGTTTTAAGTATAATAGATTTCCCAGAACTGTATCTAAAATCTCATACAGAGACATAAATAAAATTATATTTCATTCAATCGTAACCTCACAGGTATGCTCTTTAGGCAAATCATCAAAACAACTTCACTTGTCTTTCGTCTTTCATACTTTTCTGGACCATGACAGTGTAATTTACTTGGCAGTCAATGGGACAGTCACACGCCTCCTGGTTTTCATCCAAAATATCTTAAATTGTGTTCCGAAGACAAACAAAGCTTTTACGGGTTTGGAACGACATGGGGGTAAGTGATTAATGACAACATTTTCATTTTGGGGTGGAGTATCCCTTTAATGGGTAAATGAATGCATGCATGACAGATCAATCTTTTTCCCATCATGTTTGGACTTGCGTTCGTTAAAATGAGTTCATAACATTGCCAAAGGTGTTCTGGATGTGGTTTGGAAAGTGAGAAATGCACCGGTAAAACTTGAGTGACACTTTTCAAGTTTGTCAACTTTTCTAACTTTGTGTTTGGACTATGCAAATAAGTTCCACAGAAGGAAAGAAGGGTGGGCCACACCGTGTTCCCCTGTTCTGATGGAAACAGCCATTCACAGCACAGAAATGGAGAAGCACCAAATTGCAGTCTCCTCCTCATTGGAAAGGGAACCCTTTCAAAGGTACCCTTCCAAAAGGCACTCCTTGTTCTGAATTTCCATCCAGAGAGACAATAGCAGATCACCAACCTGTCTCCGAGTCTCCGGCCTGCATGGTAGGAGATAGAAACAGATCAACAAAGTTCTGAGTCTCAGTCCTGTAAGGAGAGAGACACTAACAGACACAACCCTGTTCTGAGCCTGTGACCCATTACAGGGAAGGCAGCAACAGACACATTTGTTCTGAGTCTCCGGCACATCCAGTGAGACACTAACAGATACATTCAACATTCTGAGAAGAAAAAGATACTCTACGTTCAGAGTCTTCGTCCAGTGAGACAACAACAGATGCAGCACATCCTGAGTCTCCATCCTAGAGAGACAAAGCGGATTGACCAAGTTCTGAGTCTCTAGCCCAGAGAGGCAGAAGACATACAGATATTTGCCAAAAGTTTAAGCGCCGGCGAGCATCCTTCACGTCAAGGTACTTTCGTCTGCTTGTTCCAGACTAAGGACCTTCTGCACTTACTCCAAGCCAAAGCCACATCTGTGTTCCAGATTTTAGGACCCTTTGGTGCTCCATGAGATCAGAAAAAGAAATCACAGCTACCGGTGATGCTCACTGGAACACAGAGAACATAAATATCACTTATCCAAACCTCTTCCAGAGACCATGGCATTATTGCATATTATACGTTTATGATATTCTAATTTACATTAGATGTTATATAGCTGATCGATTAAGAACAAATAATCTTTAAATTATTTGTTTGAGGCATAATAAGGTTCTTCGCCTTATTAGTTTGTTTATCTTTTCATAAGATAACATAACTTTGCCATAGCAACATCCAACTGAATCGATTGCATTTTATGCACTTTATTCCTTTTTCATTTGATATTCATTTAGTAGTTTTTGATTACTCTTGTCTATATTTTGTTAATAAAATAAATTTTATTACACTTGTGTCTTCCTTGTGTTGATAATACAGTAAGAGGTTCTACAAGTTAGATATCCCACCAATATTTCTTATCTGATGTACTCATAACCGCACCTTAAGTGACACATGATCCAAAAATCATAATGTCATCGTGATGTGAGTACCTATCACTACACTATTTTGCCTCCCTAGGTTGGCGAAAGCAAATTCACTGCATGTGTGTGAGTGTGTATATATATATTTCCATTACTTCAAGTAAAATAAATATAAGCTGAAATAAAATAAAAATTAAAAAAACTTTTAAACTTAAAAATAAACTGTTAAAACAAAATTTCTCACTTTTGTTTTAAGTAGAAGTATTAAAAAAATAAAACTAAATAAATTAAAAACTAAAGCTTAAAAACGATATAATTAAGAAAAAACACTAAGAAAAATGACAAACAACAAAATTGCTAAAACTTGAACTAAAATTAAAAAGAAAATAGATAATATAAACAAAATCTAATACAAAATATTAACAAACTATCACAGTATATCAATAATACTAAAATAACACTGTTCTGTGGAGATGGATAGCATGTACAATACATAAAAACAAACACCTTTTAATAGTCAAGCTTAAATCCTAATTAATAGCTTCCTGTTATTCTTACAGTTCCCCTCCAACGGAAGCAATCAGATCCAGATCCCAGCACTGAGCGTGGACGGCCTATCCACACCTGTCGTTCTCTCCCCTGGACCACAGAAACCATAACTTGCGATTTAATTCCCTTATCTCCTGCCGTGGTGATTGGCTCCCTCCCCAGTCAATGAAACGCTGAGGACGGCCAATGAAAGATGGGACACTCCATATCAAGTTCTGCTGTGAGTTGGGCGGGGCTTCTGCTCCAATGTTGACTCGGGAGGAGTGCGCTCTCAGCCGGCCTTCACGATTGGTTGACAGAGCGGCCCGATTCTGGGCTTGATGGTGGCATTTCATAGACTATTTGCTCTTTTGATTTTCCTTTGCCTTTTATATGATCATCATGGACGGTTATTTATTTATTTCTGATGTTTCTTGGTGCATCGTGAGATGCATATACCAGAATGCTCATGTGAACTTGGAACTCGGAGATCTCAATTTTATTTTTGATTTCTCACCGTAACATTATGAGTTATGGACCAGACGAGGTATCCTTTGATTGAATCAAGGCATAAAATGCCATTTACTTCACAGATGGAGCATAGCTTTCTTAAAAACTTCTTTATAAAAACTTTCTTTAAAAAAATGGAAAGCATGCATTTGAAATCTGCCAGATTAAAGTGCAAGTTAATTTCTTTCTTCGGCATTACAGAGACACAAATACATCATTTATAGTAACACTGTTATTTAAAAATTTTGTGTTTTTTTCCATGGACAAAGGAGTCCATTTTCCTAAAGTGGCATTGAAAATGCCAGAGGAATGTAACAGCCATTCCCAGGATTTGAAAAGGTGGAACCAGGGAGGAAAAGATACAAAGAGATTCTGAGTGATATCATGATCTGGAATGTATCAATCTTTTTCTTCTATTGCATCATTCCTTTATTTCAGAACCTTCTTCTTGTAGATATATGTTGCACCCATTCCAAGATTTTGTATTCTTGCTTTCCTGTTTTTGTTGTTGTTTTTAGTAATTCTATCAAGGAGCCCTTTCTCTGGCAGCATTGACAATGCAGGTGAAGGTTTCAGAAGTGTCGCAGCGAAGCTTTGCAGTTTCATGCTTTTTTTTTCTTCAAAAGAAAACGCCAGAGGAGACCAAAGACCAGCTGTTTATATACAATCCATCTTAGCATCTCTATCCTTTTTTTTCTCTTGTTTCGCATTTTCTCTCGCTCTCGTCTTTTTATTTTTACTCTGCCGCATTAAAGGGCTATAAGAACCTTCACACAACCAAAACCCACTCACTTCTGACACTGTATATAACTGATACATCTAACTCGCCAGCTATAAGTGTAAAACACATTAATCCTTGTAAATAAAGTAATTTATGGCAGAACAGGAAGTATGTAGCTTCAGCTGCTTTCGATGTTGTTAGTAGTTTTGTGCAGCCTGCCTCTTATGCTATGTTCGTCTGATGTGTTAAAATCACACTCACGGTTGTTACCTCAAAAGCTGTCAACAGCTCGACGTGTCAAAGCAGGCACGCAAATACGTTGCAACTGACAAACAAAGTCAACGATCATTTGCATGTCTTCTTGCGCTTGTAGTTTCTCAAGTTTCCTGTGGAGAAATCATGGTGGTTATATATAGAGTTCTGCAGAAAGCTGTAGTCAGTGTTTATGGACAGTAACTGCCTCCACCGCATACAGCCTTTTCTGTACGACTGTTTCTATCATTTCATTTGACCTGAGTTTGCTGAACTCACACATAACATCCTTGTTTTCCGTTTTAAGAACATTTGGACAACAGTGTCTTTCACTTTAGAACATTTTGGCTCTTTAAGTTGGTGCTTTTTGTTGTTTTAAAGAGTGTTTTGGTTTGATATCTGCGTAATTGTAATGAACTTGGGAGGATTTGCTGGTAGCATGCTGCAATTGCTTACGCTTGTCACCTCTCAGATTGTTTCTCCTGCATTTTGTGCACCTCATGGCTGATTTGTTACATGGACCAATGTGAACTGTTCTTTTCTCAGTGAATGACTGTTTGTTTTAAGATGAAGCACTTGAGAAAAGCCTTGAAGATTAGTAAATGTTCACCTCAGCTCTTGGTGTCCCTTTAATATGTACCGATGATGTCATGGACGCCCACAAGTCGACACATTGAATGTTCTGTTCGGGGGGCATTTTGGGAGTCACCCCCTCACGTTACCACGTGCTAAGCTCAGTGAACTGATATCAGCTTAACCTCCTGAGACCCTGCATCCTCATATCCAGGACATTATATTTTAGTGAATTTCTTTGTGACCACAGTTTTAAGTCTGGATGTCCTGTACAGAGCACATTCAGGGCTTTTTTAGAGATACTAAATGTTTGGATATTTCACCATGACCACTCCCTCTCCTTGGATATTAATTTAGTGACACTCTTATGGAAATATGATATTTTGTAATTATCATTTAAATCCGACTAATTTTTAAACTGTGTGTCATAAATCAACATCTCAGGAAAATGTTATGGGGTTTCAAATCAAAATATGACTTTCTGTTACGAAACAGGACGTTGATTTCATACATGTCCTCATATGAAGACACCGGGACTAAAAGCATGTTTATTACGCATTTTGGGAGACACAACAAATGAATAGGGAAA